AAAGAATAAATGAATAAGTATTCAACTTAAAAAGATCTGTGACAACAAAGCAAAAACAAAGTAGGGTAAATTATATTAATATATAATTAATATATAATTAATATATATTAATATATAATTAATATATAATTAATAATATATTATATTAATATAATTAAAATTATATTAATATAGACAAAAACAAACTGGTGAACTAAAAATGAAAAATAACTCATAATAAATTCAAGAAGTTTTTCTTTCAAAAATTAGATAAAAAGGGGAATTACTAGACTATATAATCAAGCATAAAGAATAAGACTGTTAATAAATACATAGCAGGAATGATAAATGTGATTAAATCACAGATATGGAGATGAGAAAATTATGAGATATGTTACTATGCACAATGAAACATTAAATTGATAATCAGTCCTTTTAGATGCTTGTCAAAATAAAAACCAAAATCTCTGAAGCTAAACTTAATCTGTTGGAGTTTTTAGAATAAAAAGATGAAGCAAAAATTTTAGGAAACCAAGAGACAAAAAACAATCCAAGGTATCTATCCTTTGCTATATTCTTTTTTTAAATTGACAAATAATAATTCTCTATATTTATGGTGAACAACATCATGTTTTTATAGATGTATATATTGTAGAATGATTAAGTCAAGCTAGTTAAAATATCCATTACCTCACATAGTTCTCTTTCTTGATACAAGCATTCAAAATCTACTCTCTCAGCAATTTTCAAAATATGATACATTATTATTAACTGTAGTCACAATGTTTTTCAAGATCTTCAGAATTTATTCCTCCTATAGAACTGCAATTTTGTATTTGACAAATGTTTCCTCAGTCCCCACCTACTCTTGAGACTTCTTTAACCATCATTCTATTCTCTGCTCCAATGAGTTCACCTTTTTTCATTCCCACGTGTAAGTAAAACTGTGCAGTCTTTGCCTTTCAGTGCCTGAATTATTTAATTTAACTAACATCTCCAGGTTCATCCATGTTGTCGCAAATGATAGGATTTCCTTCTTTTTAAGACTGCATACTATTTTGTTGTGTATGTATACCACATGTTATTTATCAATTCATCTGTTGATAGACACTTAGGTTCTTTTGATATATTGATTATTATAAACAATGCCATAATGAGTACGGGAATCTAGATATCTCTTGAACAGACTGATTTCATTTCATTTGGATATATACCCAATAGTGAGATTGCTGGATCAAATCGTAGGCCTATTTTTAATTTTTAAAGAAAACTTCCATGCAGTTTTCCATTACTGTTGTAACAATTTACATTCCTACCAACAATGTAAAATTGTTTCCATTTCTCTATACCTTTACCAAACCTTGATATCTCTTATTTTTGTGATAACAGCCACCCTATTAGGTGTGAGGTGATTGCTTATTCTGGTTTTAACTTGCATTTCCTTGATGATTAGTGATGTTGAATATCTGTTGGCTATTTGAGTGTATTCTTTTCAGGTTTCTTGACCAATTTTTAAAGTTAGGCTATTTGTTGTCTTGCTATTGAGTTGTTTGAATTCCCTACATATTTTGAATAATAACACCCTCTCAGATGTAAGGTTTGCAACTATTTTCTCCTATTTTGTAGGTTGTCTCTTCACTCTGTTATTTCCTTCGCTGTACAAAAGCTTTTAAGTTTGATGAAGTCCCATTTGTCTAATTTTGCTTTTGGTTCCTGTGCTTTTGGGTAATAACCAAAAAATCCTTGTCCAGGCCAATATCAAGAAGCTTTTCTCCTGTGTTTTCTTCTAGTAGTAGTATAATTTCAGCCCTTATTTTTAAGTCTTTCATTCATTTGTCATTATATTCTTTATTTAAAAATCATTCTAGTTATTATTGCTAGATAACAAATTATCCCAAAACTTAGTCACTTGAAATAACCATTTTACTTTAATCATGACATTAGAGTCATAGCAAGAATTTAAAGAGTGCTTGGTAGGACAGTCTTGTAAATATTTACAAGTTTTTGTAAAGTTGCTGTCAGATGTCCACTAGGCTACAATCATTAGCAAGCTTTGTGGAATGGGCATCCAAGATAGCTCCCTTACAAGACTGGCAGGTACTATTGGCTTCCCACCTGGAGCTCAGCTTGGGATTCTACCAGATCCCCTGTTTGAGACATGAAGGCCTCTTGATAGCTACACTTCCTACGTAGCAATTGGAGACTCCAGAGGTAGCATGCCCAGGGAACCAGTCAGAAGCTTATTGATGTTTTCTGAACCAGCCTTAGAAGTAATGCATTATCGCATCTGCTGCATGCTATTCCCTGTGAACCAGTCACGAAGATTGCACAGAATCAAGGGGAGGAGACACAGACAGCAGCAAGAATATTACGAAACATTCAGAGACATCCTCAGAAGCTTGGACCTCACCTGTGAAATTAGTTCTGTTTTAATATTCTGAGCAAATAATACACACGCACACAATGCTTGGACCCAGAGGCTTTTGTCTGCAAATGGGCCTCTCTTTCAAAATAGAAAAGTTGCTCCGGATTATTTAGATACTCTCCTGAGGAATAAAACAGGCCATGCTAACATCAGTCACAACACTATTACCTCTGTAAAGGCAGATTTGATGGGCAGGCATCAAATTTATTAGTAAATTTATTAGCAATAATAACAGCCAGCTGGCACCATTTTTGGATGAAAGAAGTGTATAGGAATTCTTGCATTATGAATGCAGTTTTTGGCAATAATATGGGACGTATCTTTCTGAGAAATATACACAGAGATTTATTTGGAAAAAAAAAGTGAACAGTTACAATTTGTTGTATCTATCTATCTTTCACTGAAGAAAAGAAAAAAAAAGTGGCAAGTGATCAAATATTTTAAAGGAGGTTTGGACTACATAAAGCCTGAAGAATTTGAACAAAGACCAGATAATGCCCTTAATTTTTTTTAGGGAAAATAAATTACTGCATTGACTAAAATGAAGTTAAAATATTGCACATAAATAAAAATAGGAGAAAAATCAAAGAAGGTATTGGAACGCTATTTCTGAAAAGATAATAATAAAGAGTATTTTGCGAGTTATTTCCTTTGACCCTTCAGAAGGAGATACTATCATATTGCACTCCAGAGATTATAAAAGGTTGAAAGTCTTGAATTGAGCTACAACACAACTTTTATACCAACAGTTGAAAAACAGCTATCAAAAAATGACAAATATAATTCAAAATTCTGAAATAAAATCATATAAAGGTAAGATAAAATCTATACCCCCACTACTTATGTTTGATTCCTAGCTCCAACCAAGACTTATTCTCTGTGTGAACATAGACAAGTCATTTAACCACTCTGTGCCCCAATTCTCCCACCTGGAAAATGAGAGTCCTAACAAAACCTATCATATGTATTAACTGAATAATACATGTAAAGCACTTTTGATATTCTGCTACTTGTTCATATTAGAATGCATAGTAAATAGTTTTCCTTGTCAGTTTAGCTTTTAATTAAATAGACTATTCCATCTTTTTGAACAGATAATTCCATTTTTTGATGTATCCTCATTCATTTAACCTATTCCTTAATATTGGATATTTAAATTATCTTTGATCTTTTATTTTCTTAGGTCACTGATACAAAAAATTGCCTTCATCTTGCTCATTATGTATTCCTGTACATAAACCAATAAGTGAATCATTTAGAAAAAAGGGAATGTAAGCTTCTCAGTTATTGCTAGATATTTCTCAATTGTTGATTTGTAAGTTTTGATTTAATATATCTCTGATTCCTATCCAACAATTAATGTTTTCATTTTCCTTTCTGTTATAAATCTCTGGTGATTTGATAAGATATGCGGATACATCATTCTTGCATCAATTTTCACTTTTTAGAGTGAGGCTAAGTAATTTTTAAATGTTCATGAATAGTTAATCTTTTGTCATTTATTTATGTGCTATTTCATTTTCTAATGAAATGTTTGACTTTTTCTTTTAGATATGAGATCTCATCAAATATAAAATAACATCTTCAATTCATTGTCATGTGTATTGCAAATAATTTTTCCACTTATTTAACATTTTGAGTGTTTAAGATTTCTTTTTAATAGATATCTTTTGACTTGTACTCCATTTATATCTATCAATTTTGACTTTAGCCTCATGTTTAGGAAAACTTCACAATTGAAAAATTATATAAAATATAATTTGTGTTTCCTATAAAATTTAATTTGTTTGTTTTATATCAGTATAGTTAATTTATATAACACATTTTGGTATATGATGTGAGGTAAAGTCTATTATTTTTTCCAAAACAATAATACCTATTTCTTACTGATTTGGGGTTTTACCTTTATTAAATGCATATTTATCTATTTAGGTATGTTTCTAGATTTATTAGTCTGGTACATTTACTCAATTGTTTGTTCATGCCTGGAACACAATGGCATTTATTATTTTGTACTACCTAATTGAATAAAATCTTCATTGTTGCCATTCTCATAAAATGTTCTTGTGTCATTTTCATTTTATAAAAATGTATCATTTCTATTTTTCCTAATGATCTGTAGCATCATTATCTTGGTTTTTACTTTTATAGAAATGTACTATAAAATGCTAGAATTTTAAATTTGTAAACCAACAATTAAAATTGTTGCAGTATTTTTTTTTTCTGTTTATGAACTACATCATCTCTCTTTATTTAGTCTAGTCCTTGTTTACGTCTCACAGAAAAGGCTTAACTTTTCTTTTTCTAGGTGCTCACCCATTTCTCATTTCATTTGTTCCTATGTGATTTATGGCTTTGTTCATTTTGTGAGTGGGGTCATTGTTTTGTTCCCCAGTTTTTTCTTTTGCCTATCAGTAAATAAAATACCTATTGCCCCTTAATGGTTTCTTTGAGACTAGTCACCTCCTAGAACTGTCTATATAAGTTCAAAAGAATTTTTCATTGATTCTCTTAAGTTTTCCTGTTAGACAGTATATCATTAGGTTCCAATCAGAGACGTGACAAAACATATACACATAGAGGGATTTAACCTTACACAGTTGGAGTTGGTTAAGCAATCTCTGTGAAGTTGCTGTCCTCAGGTTTTATGCTGGAGCTTGATATCCACAGGGCAGGCAGATGGGAAGGAAAAATGGATGTAAAGTGGGGAAGAGCAAAAAGAAGCTGAACCCCACAAATGAGCTGAGGCCTGCAACCAGAGACAGAAATCCTTGTCAGTTCTTGTTGCGTCTAACCTTGATGATATGGTATCCTGCAGAAGCCAAAACTCTTCTTGATTACTTCTGGCCCACGTATCATAGAAGCTAATATAGTGTTCAGGAGATGGTAGAGCAAGCAATTATAGATCCAACAAGATGAGTCAGCAGACAGTGATGTGTGTGGGTAACAAAATGTCTGATGTTTTACTTCTGCCCTCTAAATCTGTCACAGAAATTTCTCTGGTGGATCCCTCTAACTCGAAACCTACAGGCAAGGGATTCTGGGAAATGTAATTTGGCCTGGCCAAGGTGACATATTAAAATGTCACTATAGACAGACATATTAACCGTTAAAAACGTTAACATAGTATCTTTTTGTCGGATTTTTCTTACATTTCCCTTCTTTTTCTACTCTTATTTTTTTGTCTAGAAAGTATTCAAAAATAATACCAGATTATTTTATCCTGCTTAAGTTGAATGCCTACTTAGCAGAATTCCATCTGATAATAACACGTGTCGGTTTAACATAGATATGGTTAAATCATAGTATTATTAATACTATTCCTCTCTTATCAAAAAGGTTGCAGAAGTTTATGATTTTTTCAGCGTTTCTTGTGCTGATGTTTTCATTAATGCCTTTATTTGTTACTTTGATTAGTGATTTCTTTCACTGATGAAGTTTCAGATTTTTAGTCACCCCCTTCTTTCTGTAATCGCCTTGCTTGTTAACTTTTTTTAAGATTGAGGTTAAATTCCTTTCACTGTTATTTTATTTTTCACACAGTGAGATCTGAATGGCTTCATATTTTTCTTTTTGTGCTCTATTTTTTCCAGATTTTGGTATCAAGGTTATTCTAGAGTTAACAAATGAATTGAGACAACTAATATGAAACAGGTTAAAGGGCATGGGGCTTACTTTTAAAGAACAATTAGCTAAATCTAAGTTTTAAAAATATACCAGCACATTTTCACTGGTAGTTTTGTTTAAACTTTATTCTTAGCCTTTTTAACAAAAGCCTTTTTATTTTAAACATAAAAAATAGTTTGAGCAAATATATTCTCCTGGCATTTCGAACTCTCAAGATTTTCCAATGAATTGAATAATAGAGTGTTACATAATTATATATTTAGAAGTAGGAGGGCCTAAAAATCATCACAAATGACACCATAATGCTTCTAGAGAAGACAAGAAAAATTGTTCCATATTTTGTACATGAGCTCATAAACAATCAAGGATGGAAGGTTTCACTCAAGGTCATAGAGAAACTTCAAGGAGGTAGAAAATGATAGCCCTGGCGCCTCGTTTCTCTGGGCAGTCCTCATTTTGCCAGACCACGGTTAAGCTCTGATCTACAGGGTTGACAGGCCGTTGATGGCTGTGGTCAGGGCATGGATTCCATCTGCCTCATTTAGAACACCAGTGAGATAACACTTCCCTCTGTACTCCACTGTCCTCATTTGTAAAATAATTTACACTTCTTTGGGAACTGTGAAAGTGAAATGAAATTTTTACATGTAATGCACTTAGAACAGCACCTGACACATCAGAAACCCTAAACACATCTTTGTCATTATTTGATGGGTTGAAAGGAAAAAACCCTGAATGGACTCCTCATTTCTTTTCAATTTTCCCCTAAATAAGGTAATGGGGACTTTTTGAAACATGACTTTTCTAGTTCATTCCTTTTCCAGTTTATACTGGCATTTAGAGGTCACAAGATCATTGATTACCTCAATAAAAAATTAAGACCTTATTGCCAATCTAAAACTCACTAGATGTCAAATAACACCAGACATAAGAAAATGGGCAACAAAATAGCCTTTAAGCAGTTATACATAAATTAATCCTCCCTGGAAGATCTTGGAGAAATAATAAAAATGGCTATTAAACTAGATAATAATCTATGCAGTTTCCACATTACATAGAGAAGAATTGCAATGAATTTTAATTGTAGATATTATCCAAACGATTATAATAATTTGCATATATTGAAGAAAATATGATTTTTTCATTTTTATTCTACATATGATTTTATTAATATTTATATTCTTACTAGCATTACTTTTATCCAATTTTAAAATTAATAATTGCATATGACAGAAAAATTCCAAATTTAGGAAAAATATATAAAAAATAAAGTTACAATTTCACATTCAATGATTAAATCAACATTTTTAGGGTGTTTTGCAATGAGTGTGTGGATGCATACATACACATATATATATGTTTCTCCATATACATTAATGAATACAGTCACATATATTTATGCATATATATAAATCACATATATATTACTGATATATTTGACAGAAATATTTGTGCCAGATTCTGCTCTAGGCACTAAGAATACAGAATTTAAAAAGCACACACAGGAGAACCCATTGTCACATAACTTTCATTCTAGTACATGTGAAAATATAGCCTTAGCCGGGTGTGGTGACTCATGCCTGTAATCCCAGCACTTTGGGAGGCTGAGGTGGGTGGACTACCTAAGGTCAGGAGTTCGAGATCAGCCTGGCCAACATGGCGAAACCCCATTTCTACTAAAAACACAAAAATCAGCTGGCCATGGTGGTGGACACCTATAATCCCTGCTACTCAGGAGACTGAGGCAGGAGAATTGCTTGAACCTGGGAGGCGGAGTTTGCAGTGAGCCAAGATTGCACCACTGCATTCCAGACTGGGCAACAGAGTGAGACTCCACTTAAAAAAAAAAGAAAGAAAGAAAGAAAAAAGAAAAAGAAAATAGAACCATACAATTTTAACAAGTTTGTATCATACTTTTAAGATTTGCTTTTTCACATCCATATGTGAATCACTAACCCAGTTTATATACTGATACTTTTAACTACTGTCCAATTTTAGATTCAGCTTTTTACAAATGTAAAGCCATGTATATCTTTTCAGAGTAATCCATGCATATGAACACAATTAGCATTTTATAGCTGCATCTATTTAACTAAAAATGTGTTTCTATCCAATAGCTCTAAGAATGTGATAGCTTTACCAGAGTAGCAGAAGAAAAAAAAATGGACAATATTCTATTGGAAGTATATTAGATCATTTAAAATTAAAGTATAATGGAATATTTTCAGTTAGCATTTATAGATGATTTAATTACTGAGATATTTGTAAATATGTTCAGAGCTATGTAATTTTCAATACCTCTAATGGGGTTTTGCAGAGCAGATTAAGTTATTTAAATTGACACAAAGTCCAGATGTATAATTGTAATATTTAATCCCAAATCAATATATTATGAGTCATTTTCCCCCATACAACTCTTTGTCTAAATACATATCAGATGAGAAAGAACATTTTAATGTATATTCTCTATCAGTATCTCTATAAAAGAACCAAATACAGTAACACATTTAGATGTTTGTTCCTAGGAATTCTGTGCTGCACACTGAAAGCAAAGGAGTTGGTGTTATCAAAGTCTTCTTCTGGCTGCCCATCAAAATTTTAGAATACTCACCTTTACTCTGTTTAGTATATAAAAATTTTAAAGACAAAACTTCTCACTTTCTTCTTGCTGCTTCTTCCTCCTACTCCTTAAATCCAGGTGATTCTTCTGTAATATTGTTTTCTGAGACTACCCCCATTTTGTTTACTGCCACCACCAACTAACAATGTCAGCCCACTTTGAAAACTTCCCAAGTGATAAGCAGCTCTCTCCTTTTCATTCCACTTTTACTAAACCTTCTGGAACTTTCACTACATATTGAAACAAAACAACAATTCTCAATATTTGGCTTGTAGGTCATATAAAATTTTTTGCAGGAATCTAATGTTATTAATTTAAATGTAGAAGTCTCTTTAAATTAAAACATCTAAGAGTGACAGGTTTTAATGTATTTTCTTCTTTCACCAATGTGGAAAGAGTAATTACCATTGATTCTCAGTTGGCTTCGGAAAAAAAATCCAGAGTGGGAGATGATATCTCAGGCTTCTGAATGGATGAATACCATTGCCAAGAACCACAAGTATTTCTTACCAGAGGGTACTCGTCTCACTGGAACTGCCTCAGTGTCTACAAAGCTGAGTACTTGGGTAAGAGAAACTTGCGATGTTTGGGGAGAGAATGGGAAAGGCCCAGAGCGGGAGAGTTTAAGTTGTTCCCAGTCCTGTCTCCAGAGGGTCCTGATCAAATGCCACAAAACTCTTGCCTGACAGGCTCAGGATGGACAGGTCGGAGGTGGGGTTGCCTAGCCCCTCTCTCTGGCGGGTCGGCAACAAATGTCTTCAGAAAGTTTCCCCCTGCAAAACTAGGCTTCTCCCTGGCTGCACCAGAGGCTGTAGGTCCAAGAAAATGGAAAACAGAAACACCAACTTAAAGTTTATTGTGGGCACATCATAAGTATTTAATAATTTCAAACCTTTTGGAAAATTTCCCAAAGACCTGGTAACATTCTCTGAAATCTGAGTACCTAAAGACGCCTCTTTAAGATATAACAGTTGCAAGAAAGGTGTTATGACACAAAATATGATCTGCAGTTTTAAGGAGAAAAAATATTCTCCTGAGCTTATTACTTTTTTAATCAAGTAGTTTGTAGAACTTTCGGTTTTTAAGGCTAAGTACTAGAATTACAATTACAAGTAGGCTTGAAAAGGGCAAATTTATAATATGAAACTATCATAAAATTATTAACAAATGTAATATAAGAAAAGCTATATTTGATAAATAGAAGGTTTCCTTTATCTGACCCCAACCTGTATATTCAGTATGATTTTCATTATTCTTTAGAAGTTGACAAATACTAGGTGTCCAACAACAAAATAAATTGAATAAATGGATGAACCATTAATTGTAATCATATTAATCTGCTCACTGTTCTCTCCACACAAGCCATGAACTTTCCCACATTCATGCCTTTCCTTGGGTCATTTCACCCATAATTTTACAAGACCTATATTGCATTCTACCTATTTTATCAGTCTTTAATTACCGTTTTGTCTCTTGGGTTGTCTACCTGCTCTCTGAACTATTGTGTCTCATGTGACTCATTTATGCTCTTCTAATTCAATTGCCTGCTAACCTGATACTCCCTGGTCCTTTCTCCTGTTGTAAAACAAGTATGCTACTACCCAAATAATGATCCTGGAACTATTTGTTTAACCTTGCTCTGCATAATTTGTCTTACCCATAAAATAAGGCTAATAATAATATTGATTTTATAGATGATGGATAAAATATTACAAGTAAAGTGATTAAAATAGGGTCAGGTACATAGCAAACATGCAGTCAATTTTAGTTATTAAATCACATACACAC